CAGTGGCAGGCTTCCATCTCCATTCCTGGCTTGTTTGATTTTTTGTCTTCACAACTCTCGTTCTTTCAACACATCGCCCTTCTCATGGTCGAACGCTGTGCGCATCGGAACGGGGGGCTTCGTAAAAAGCCACCATCATATGAAAGACGTTACCCCCAATTTGTACCCGATGACGGATGAGTGCCGGCCCTGGAGCTGGTCCACCGTACTAAGGCGCGTTTTGGCGACGTTCCCGTGCGCGATGGCACCTCTCAGAACGTCTAGCTCCCTGTCGGGCTGAACTCTCTTCGCTCACCCCTCCTTTGCTCTGCACCACGTACATCATCCATCCTTTACACGATGCACACAACCTATTTCAGTCGTTTCTGCCTGCATTCAATGCTTCTAGCCCCTCCCTGTGATCCCTGTTAGAATCATCGGGCTGCCGCTGTGGTCGGTGGTGAAAATGTATCGTTGAGCTAGGGCGGCGGGACAGATGCAGTTTCCATCACATGATGGCTCTCTACCCAGTCAGCATGTACCTTACTTGGAAAGCTCGGTGTAGACTTCCTGGCAGTGGTCAGTCATCGTGGTCGATATCCGATGAGAGTGGACGGTCCAGGCCCCAGATTGCGGGAGCAAGACAAAGTCGGGCGCACTAGGGAGCACAGACAGGGTATATGGAAAGGGCTGAAGGGCACAGACAGGGGTGGTAGGACGATCGCCGGCCGGCCGGACGTCTTTTGCCTGGCTCTTCCAGGCAAGGGTTCTTCGTCCTGTGGGCGTATGCACACTGGCGTATATGCGCTGACAGCAAACAGGACGCACGACCAAGGCGACAACATGCGCCGACATGGTGGCCGGTCCGCTCGAATAGAGTTCGGTGTTGCAGGGTATCGACACCGGGGACAATGGCGCGGAGTGCCAAGTTGATCGGCACTGCTGCATGAGGAGTGGACGTGTGCAAGCAAGAAGCGGCGGCGGCATGCGTACTGCAAGGTCAGAGCCCTGCTATTGTATGAGCCACTTCGATTCGGCTCAAGCGTGTCAGCCACTGATACTAAGGAAGGGCGGCTCGAGGTGCGGGCCAAAGGCTGGGGGTAGTCTTTGCATATTGGCCCACGCCAACATGTCAACCGCGTTGCCTCAGACAGTCCATCAAACGACCTGCCGTCGGATGGATGAAGCCTTTCTCCTCGATCTTCGGATGCCGCAGAAGAGTGCTGCGGAAGGTGGACGTCGACTGTCCCACCTGCACCCACTTCATCTCCGTGTACCTCGGCAAATCCTTGCAATCGAGACCGGGCATTGAATTGCAAGCTTGACGCCCGTCAGGATTGCAAAACGCGTATTTCGAGAGTAAGACTGTGCGGAGCATGGGGTCCTGTGCCTTTTTGACCGGTTTCTTTGCCTCTGCTTCAACCTAAGTGACCTATTCCACCGCCTCCGCCTGAGCATTTCTCAAGCTCAATGCTTTTTCAGTGACGGGACAACGCGAGGTACACCTGCCAAGGATGACACGAACGTTGACTGATGCGCAGGTAAGATTTGGTGGTAAGCTGGAACAAAGAGTTCACGTCTCAAAGTAAGTACTGAAAGTGGGGATTCGGAAGGACGAAGGAGAGAAACGGGCCTCTCTCTCTCTCTTTCTGCTCCGAACACGCCCCTTGAGCAAATCGACACGAGTCCGTTGGGGGGGGGGGGGGGAGGATTAACATGGCAAGATTCCGTCATCACCACTTACCTAGAGGAGTATCGTTGCGACTCTGACAGCCTCCGAGCGACAACGTTACGAGCGTTACTTGCCTTTGGTATATACGATGGTTTACTCGCCAGCTGTGCCCTCCTGATGCCGACCTTCCGAGCACCACCTCCTGTTGGAGTGTCAGACGTTGGGGTTACACAAGCCTCTGCAACGCCGGTTTGTTGGATTATCAATGTGGGCGGGTTGTGGCGACATTTTCAGGATAGGTTGCGTCTAGGTGCCCCTTCGGGACCCCTACCTTATGCTGGTCTCGACCGTCCATACCGTGCCGTCTATGCACCTACATCAACGTTAATATCTCAATTCTCGCGCACTTTTCCGTCCTGCAACGCAGCGGCATAGCTTGCGGCAGGCAAGAGAGGGGCACTTTGTAGGGATGGCCATGTAGTAACCCAACCATTGCTCCCCACGCTCACCTCAGTCCCTTTGCCAGCTGGTAGCCTCGACAGTTCAGTTGTATCTGCGATATTTTTCTTCCTCATCAGCAGTTATTCGTTCTTGTCGTCAGTGGATGCCATCCAACCTGACGGTGGGCGGAGCTGTCCTCATTCTTTGGACCATGATCGGGAACGATTCCTAGTAGGGTCTGACCTGCATATCTAGTCGCCTGGCTGCAGTCGTAGAAGATCCACGCGCGATCAGCAATCGCCGACCTCTCGGGCCACAGTCACGCTCCCAAAGCGCCCTTTCTTGATCTCCTGCTACCGCCGCCAGTGAGGGGTTCCTTTCGTAGAACACTGTTGCTTCGGAATATGCGTTATTCAGTAGCTCATCACGATGAAACTGGTGGACGGTCCCCAATTCCAACTGCTTAGTACATGGCAGCGAAGGACGCTACTCGAGTCAGCTAGGGACCTATTAATCTGAAATCTTGAGAACCATTCGTAAGGTTAGGTGACGTGCGAGCAATGATCCATCGTCGAAGTATGGGAACACCTCCGCTCGTCTCCTTTGCCCAGAACCATCGCTTAGGGTCCATGTTGCCACCGGGTCTTGAAACTGTCCCCAACCGCGAAAAGATTTGCAGCCAAGCCATTCGACGTTTTCTGGAACGCCGATTCCTTGCGTCGATCGAGCTCGATATTCCTACTCCTCTTCCAATATTTCACAGGGTCATGGTCATCAGGGGGGCGACAGCTCGGGGATAACTACTCGCAGCTCCCCGAGGAGCAATGTCTAGCCGCCGCAAGGTTGATCACTCCCTGTCGGTATGCTTGGTTGGGGGGGGGGGGGGGGCGGCTTGAAATGTACTCCATGTCTCGCTCCTCATATGCAGTGGAGGCTGTGTCTGGGATGGCCTTGGGGCGTGTTGGGACACGCGACGAGGTACTGGGCAGTTTATCTCCATCACTCCTTGTGGGCAAGTCGTTCCTGGCTGTCAAAGTCGGCAGTTGTTTGTCGCTTTCTCGTCTCATCGTGGCAGCTCATGCCGCATTCTTTGCCGCCAATCTCAACAGAAACGCCTGTGAACTGCGATGAATCTTTACAGTTCCATGACAGCCCAGGCAGCTTCAGAGGCGCGCAAATTTTCAAGCCAGCATGCAACGTCTCCATACACACACCAAGCCGTGCCGAAACTGGAGCTAGTTAGAAATCGTGAGCGGAGCGGAAACGGTCTGGCGCCTCAAGTATGAGCCCAAGTGGGTATGTGGCTGCAGTATACAGATGAGAATGCGACACCACGAGAGTCGAGAAACTGATGCTCTGGCCCGAACTAGGTAGTAGAAGCTGAGTATCCAAGCTGACCGAGCGATACTTCATTTCGAATTGAACCTGGTTATTCATCAGTGTAACTCCAAGGACAGCGCATTTGCGCCATTACCATGCCTTCATCATCCTAGCAGCTTGGAGTTCTATTGTCTGGGAGTCGCCCTCTGTGTTGGGAGAGATTTGAGCATCAAGAGAAATGCTTCCCTCAGCGTCCCTCGAGAACGATTGGAAGGAAGGCACAATTGCGAGTGTGGCTGTGGCTTGACAATGTCCCCAACGTGACTGTGTCCGTTCACGGCGCAGCAAGAAATGACTGTGTATAACATCTAATACCTGGGCGTTGGCCGTTTTGATATGCATGCAATTCATGTGTAACGTAGGTAGCCGAGTGACCCCAACTAACCCGGCTGTCACTCCGTCCCGGGTAAAGGAGGTCACACTGCATGACCGTGCCGCATCCTCCCTGATACTGGGAAACGTGGGGGGTTTTGAGCAACACTCCAGACTTGGTGAGCATCACTAATGCGTAAGTAACCGTTGACGAATCAACAGTTTGTGTCACCAGTAGGTTGATCCGCAAGCGTGGCAACTGGCCCACAGATATTCGTGTTGGTAGTTACATCCTACGCTGCAGCTGGCGATTCGCAGACGGATAACGGAGTCCACTCCGAGCGCGAGCTATTCGTGACGGTCTCGATTGGGACCATGAAGGCAATGTCATGATCATGTCGCTGCGCTCCATGCCCTGCAGCCGCCCTGTCCCCACGTAAAATGGACGGGATGGCCAGAGCTAGCTCAGCCTCATCTCGCAGTCGTCTGTCAAACAGACGTACTACATGATGTTGAAAGCGTTCCGGTGCTGCGTTGGCTGCGGACCGCAAGGTGGGGCCGGAAGTGTCAAGTCCTGGCGGCGACCATAATCCGTCGAAGTTTATCATCCCAGTCATGACCATTTCAAAATGGATGAGCGAGACGCTGTCACGTACAGGGGCGACGCCTAGGATGGAAGAGGTGGGACAGTCAGGCCACCTCATCGGGGTCTAGCCGCCAAGCCTGTTAGCTGCACCCCTCTCAGAAGGAAATCGATCACTTCTCAGATTCTTTGAAGAAGGGTGCAAGGGCCAGTCTTGAAGATTGCCCAAGGCTGGACAAACTTCTTGGCTTTGGCTGATGTTGTCAGCCTTCACGCCTGTACATGAACAAAGTACAGGAATGACACAGGGTGGAGTAAGCCCCCTCTCTTTCGATAGTGTCAACAATTAGCAGGGCAAGCGTCTCATTCTCGGTTTGGAGGGATCGTGATACGCCTGAGCAAAGTCAGCGAACCTGCAAGTCTAGGACCCTGTAGGACCCAAATGAAGAAAGTACCGTACCAGCCCCGGACTGCGTGTATCCACGAGTGGCGAGGGAAATTCTATTTAAGGCTCAATGGCGGTCTCCGGGTCCCAAAGTTTGTTCTCCTGTCGTGCCTATGCCACCGAACACTGTCGATTTCAAGCTGAAGAGCACCAACATCAACGTCAACCTGCCCTGACACGACAACAAGATGTCTGACAAATACCCTTGCAAGTACCATAACAATCCAAACGGCGCGTGCTTTCCCGGGATAGAATGGGTTGGTGGTGCGGATGCAGCTTGTGATAAATGCCTGGTGCGTTACACTGCGACATGCTGTGTAGACAGAGTTGTAGGCTAAAACGATGAATAGGCGGCAGGGCTTCCCAGAGGATTGAATCAGTGCAGCATTTGGCAACCCATGTCGACGAGCCTCCGCGAACGAAGCAGAGATAATTGTGCGATATACCAGGAGGTACACGGCATACTGGAGCCACGCAGGCAACACAGATGGTGAACGTACGACGAGCTGTCGCAGAGCAGTCTGGAATCTTTGAGGTACAAAGTCTGCGAGAAAGTAGGTTCCGAGGCATTGAGCTTCGGCTGTAGCATGTTCAGCATCATAGCACATCTTTTCGAATCCATTCCCTTTACTGCTTCCAAGAACTCAACCTCAATCATGCGGATTTGAGAATGCCGCGTCGTAACACTCAATGGAGTGCAGCACAATTGAGAAAGTCGACTGATGTAGAGACGAGGACTTTGAGAGGCAATGATGGTCAGTATCCTCAATATCAGGGATACCTGGCTCTTCAGCGTCGGGAGCCTTCGCTCGGAAGAGGGCTATTGTCGCATTCACTGGCGAGCTTAGCTCGGGATCCGTTGGCATATCGCGGCCAGTGTCGACCGGCAACTGCGCCAGATTGAGGGGACTTCAAGAACTCGGGCTGGCCAGTGGATCGCGACCAGGATCACTCGATAAGGAAGTTTTTTCTCACAAGCTTGATGTTGCTGATGCGCCTTGCCACTGGCTGGCCTGAGATTCAAGAGGCCGGACATTCGGATGCAACCGCCGTTGACAACTCATTGACCATCACTTCGACTGTGCCGTCGAGGAGGCGTTGAGTAGGCCCCCAGCCAAATCTCCAGCACATCAATCCCGCACATGAAGACGGCTGTCACAGCGCAGGTCCCATGCAAAGAAGGCTCGAGGCAATCGAATATGCACCAGGCGATATGTTGTCGGTGAAATGGGTGGGCCAGACGGATGCTAGAGCTAAGTTCGTCAAGGGTCTCTCCAGAGAGGGAGGACAACCTTGTCGAGCACCTATAAGCCGACAGAAATGGGCTTGAAACGTGCCAACATGGCGTCAGGGGCTGTCAAATAGTTCACAAGACCCTTCGCACTGATCCTGCCACAGTCTCAAATCGAGAGGGGGGCGGTCGATCAGAAGTAACACCGCTCCGCCGAGTTCTGAGCCCTCTGGAGTTGCTTCTAGTTGATCGTTGAAAAGTTAGTCAGCTGCAAACTTATTGGCACATCTCGCCAGTCGAAATCAATCCTCCATCGCAGTCTTTCGCAAGTCTTGTACCAGAGCATGATCGCCGGGGTCTTATGGGGCAGCGCCAATGGGTGAGCGGCGCCGAGTGCGGCAGCTGAAAGGAGACTGGCCTACACTTAGCCCCGCGCAAAAGACAGACAAGAAGTCTCTGGGAGTGGTGCTCGCAATATCACATGCGGACGAGCGATTCACTTATTCGCTGTTCTTGACTTGACAGCCGCGAAACCGTCTCTTGGCCCTCAAATTTCTCCGTCGCAGTGTAAGTAGATTGGGCGGGCCGAACAACAGACGAAATACCAGTGCTTTGGAGTGTTGTTTGGCACGCCAATCGTGTCTCTGGCACCCATCCTGGCGCATGTGTCAAAAGCTGTCGCAAGGCGCCACGCAAACTGGCATCATTTTGCTGTGAAACTGGACGTGGAACACATGTCCTAGTTCTCCCACGTGAGGATCATAATGGAAATCCATAGCAGCCACGCTAAGCTCCTCAAATCGCCAGTACTTGTGCCAGGTCACACACCTGCACGCTAGGACCTCATTGTGAAGCTTGTGGCCAAAGTGCAAACATGGCGCACGTTCAGAGTGGGTTCCAAGCGTGCGGCAGTGGGGATGGTAGCTAGAGGTTGAATAGCTAGCATGTTGACCCGAGCTCGCACGCCAAAGGAGGATGGCGGAGATCAGGCTGATGCGTGTGGTAGCGTGTTGTGTATCCATGCCAGAGATTCTATCATGCCTTGTAGCAGCTGCAGCCAGACAGACTAAGCATGTGCTGTCATACGGAATGGCGTATACATGTGGACTGCCTTGCTTGTATATAGTAAGGTAGCTTGTGACGTGCTTTTAAGAATACTTAACACGCATGTAAAGTCAAGCTCATACCATCCAGCTCTGATACAAAACGCTGCGGATACAAAACGCTGCGGATGACAAATTGGTTTGTTAGCTTGTCAACCGAGCTTCGCTTATCAAGTAGCCACGGCTTTCTTTCTTAGTCCAAGGAAAGGAATGTTGCAAACCGACAGTGTAATTCATGCTGGTTTTTGTACTGTTTTGCACATAGCTCTCGAAGGGACTTTTCGTGTTCATCTTCTGATGTGTCATGGAAGAGGCGATCAGGCCGAGCAGCTGGTAATCCCAGTGGCAGCGCGCAGGTTAGTACGACGGTAAGCTCGCGTCGCGTGACGTCTGCTACTCTTATTCCACCCTTCAACCACGCGTCGCTTCAAATACTCTCTACCTCCAATTAGCATCCATATCAGAAAAAGGCATCTCAGGTTGACTTATCCCTGCATCGAGGGGGTTGCCGTCTCGCCATTCCTGGAGCGACGACAACCTGGACTGCCCTCCAATCAGGCCTGTCCACCCACAACGGGGTCCAAGGAAATTGACTCGGGCTCTCGCTTGGGCAGAAAAGGTCATCCGAGGCAGACGCCACCAGGCTGGACAAGCGCGGAACTTTGACACCAACTCAAGATGGGTCCCGGTCTGACGTCGCCCACCCCTTCATCGCTACTTGCCCAGACGCGAGCGTCGAGAAGCATATGCAGCCTCCACAAGTATACCAAGACTGTCATTTCGGCAATGTTGCATGACGATCGGCGGCTTCAGAGGGCAGGAGAAACCATCAGACGTAGTTGTGCCAAGTTCTTTCTGTATGTTTCGCACTGCCAACAAGGACTCGTTTTTGTTTCCTCTCCGTGACGTGTCGAAGACGAGGCGGTGGAGGGCATTGCGCGCGGACAAAAGACATTCTCAAAAACCGTGCTATCGTCCAAAGTTGTCCACGAGGTAACAGTGGGAAGTTTGCGCTCCTCAGAAGAAGACCGCACGAATTTGGCGTCCGTCAACGCCGTGGGACAAGACCCACGGGATCAGGTTAATGGGCCTGACCAGACTCATATGGATGTAATGACACACCCAAGCCATAGCCCGGATGTGGCCCGGCAAGGCGAACGTTTGCTCGTGGGTTGGATGGGATCAAGTCTGTTGTGGTGTCAAGAGTGCGCTGAGATAATCGAGGGTACGTAGAGCTGTTTGCCTCGCCATCGTCAAGTCAGACGGGTCGTTTCAGTTTGCTGCTTGAGTCCCTCCCCCCATCTCGACCCTTAGGCTGCGAGAAGGGTCGCGGAAGGTGTGCACAAGTCGAAGGAAACGCTCATCTGACCGTTTGACGGCGCTGCCAAGATCTCCCTCACTGCAGTCTCTCCCGCGATTCCGAGCCGCTGTAGGGCTGAATCAGGCTCCAGAACGCCAGACGAGAGCAATCATCTCCCTACGAGCAAATAGGCTCACCTCATCCGAGCAGTCTGTTATTGGTCAAGGCTCTAGTTCCAGCAGCTGGTTCTGACGAGCGGCCTCGGACCAGAGGCTCTCACCGTACAGACTCATAGAGCCAACTTCTCGCGCATCAGGTGATGATGACTGGAGTGCTCTCCTCGCCGGTCCGCCTACATAGCCCCGGACAAAGACGCCACTTTTCAGTGGCGGTCTCCGCAGACGAGCATAGCAGACATACAAGGCGACTTGAACGGCCGTGGGCGCAAACTGAAAACCAAGGTGATGCTTAGGGTTAAGTTCCGACCCGTCTTCCCTCAGCCGGACTGGGTCGTCTGATACTGACGACTCGAGGTCCCAGTGGATCCAATCACAGCAAGCACGAAGCCCTGTTGCAGAGTCGCGAGCGGCGTACTGGGGCCTCCCAGCCCTTGTCGAGGGGTCTATGAAAGACATTCCTCTCGGAAAAGAAGAGCCGGAGGACTGTGAAGGAGGCGTCGTGCGTGGAGTGATGTCGAAAGGACGAAAGAGCTTTCGCATCGACCACATTCTGAGGTTTCGCCAATCTTGAAGCCGTATCTCGATTTGGCCATCAGCAGTGCACCGCGATCTGGTGATGGGATAGACAAGAGTGAAGCTGATAAGCTAGTGAAGTAGGTTGTGAAGAGAGAGGAGGGGAAAGAGAAACAGATGGAAAGCACGAAAGATAACAGTATAGGGGTCAAAGCGCGCACCACCGTAGCTGCCTTGGGCAAATTGATGCCTTGCATGTGGAAGGAACACTGTTGCTCCAGGTAATGAACGCGTCACATTGGCAGGTACGACCACGCGTACTGGGCAGGTAGAGCGCGAGCCCACGTGACCCAGTCTCAGTGGTGGGTCTTGCCTCTCAACACAGATTACTCAGTAATCCATCACCTGGGTACCTTAGTCTTCAAGGAACGTCATCTTACAAATAAGTTTGTAGGATCTTACATGCAAGTCTGTTCATCAGGTTACCATGACCGAGACATGATGGCGTCAACTGGGAAGGAAAGTCGTCGGACTCTCGCAGATACGTTGCTCCATGTTGGCAAGCGCGCTTTTGACCCAACAACAGAGCCTGCATTACGCGACCTCGCCTTGAAAGAGTTCAATTCGCTTGTTGAAGGGTAGGTAAGATTGTTCATTGCCTGGACCCAGAGACATCTCTAACCGGGACGCAGCAATGTGTCATGGAATCTGTTACCAGCCTTGAATGCGTTGATCAAGCCGAACGTGGCGCCGTCATGGCTACAGCCGCCACTGATGAAGATTCTTACACATATCCCGCTTCGTCGTGATGGCGTGCGTGGAACCCTCGAGTTCGTTTTTTCAGTTCATCCGAGCAGCCAAATGAAGGCTTCTGATGAAACTACGCTCCACAAGACCGGTGCGAACATCACTCAAGAGGCTTTGGCGGTGGCGACGCGAATAATTACGTCGCCCCCGGCGACAACGGCACCTACACTGTGGTTTGCCGGTATCGCGCCACAGATACATCAGTTATTAGATGGAAATGAAGGCCCAGAGCTGTCGCGGGTCGCTGCTCAAGTCGTCATGATTGGTATCTTGAGTAAAAAACAATTTGGCGCCCCTGGTAGGTTAGCATGACTCCAACTACGTTTTCATTTCTCACGCTGCGACCAGGAACTCCGGGATGGGATATCTTTATCGAGCCTCTTCTGTTTCCTATCAATCCTTCCCGGCCTCCCGTGACATCCCTCGGCACAAACGGCTCAGGCGAGCAGGATGATATCTTAGATCTCACCCGCAGCCGAGTGCTCGTATCATTCGACAGGATCCAACTCGCCCTCCAGCGCCTTTCGACTCTTCTTAATGCGACTCCATTTCCAGCCCAAGCCAGACGTGTCATCGGACCAATCATTCGACAGCTTTGGGCCATCGCCTCGTGGCCAAACCCTGGCCCGCAGCTTCAGGAGACATGCTGCACACCAGCACTGTCGTTGTTGAAGATGTTCTTCAAGATCGGTTCCTCGTCTGCTCAGCTTCTCAAGATCGTGGAAAATCTCGACTACAAAGGCGAGCTTGAACCGGAGAAGAAAATGTGGGCATATGCGACATCTGCGCCAGATGGTGTGGAGATCATCAGCATGGAGGAGCTCCGCGACCCGAGGCTGCACCAGATTGATTGGAGCGGCGTCCAACACAAATCCTATGCCTTTGTGTCCCTCATGGCGACGAGTTGCACCCCGGATGAGGTATCATCTTTTGCTATGGACCTGCTCAGCAGATGGATGGCCGACTTGGTGGCATCGGCGCCCGCCCAGCCAAAGATCAAGTTGGAAGAAGCTGAGCCGGATGAGGAAGGCTTGCAGCTGAAGAAGCTTTGGGAGGTGGCCATCTTGCAGAAGATGCTTGAAGAGGTTCCCGAGAAGTTGATCAGTCGCATTGAACAGGTTCTGGAGCTTGTCTGTCAGATCTTGAACCCGGAAACCCTGCAAAGTCAATCAGACGATATCATCGCTGTGGCACTGAGTCTCTTGAATTTAGTCATTACATCGCCAACATTCAAGAGATCGAATCTGAAACCACGTGGCCTCGAAGTCTTAGAAACAAGCCTGGAGAAGCTGGGCAGCGGCAATCATCCAACGGTATCACCAACAGCAAGAAACTTGGGCTTGTTGCTCCAGTATCGTGATGCAGCGGGTGGCGAAGATGAGAAGGATGGGTTTGTACCCAATGCAAAGCAGTTTGAGGACAGAGCCACATACAAGCTCGCCATATCATACATCACACAAGCAGATAACCCTCCCCCCGTTCGCTCGGAAGGTCTCAACCTCATATCAGGCCTGATCCTGGCAAACAGCACCGCTCTGGACGTTCAGGCTGTTCTCGTCCTTCTCTCCTCTCTCATGCAAGATGCCGAGGACTATATCAACCTGCGTGTCATTAAGGTCTTCACGCAAATGGCCAACAAGCACCCCAAGGCAACGTCGCGCGAAATACTTGATCACTACTTGGATCCGAAAGAACGCTCAACAACAGATACGAGGTTGCGCTTCGGAGAGGCGCTCCTGCAAGTCATCGAGCGCTTGGGGGAAACATTTGCAGGAGATGTTGCCCGCCATGTCACCGAGACGCTTTTGTCGATTGCCGGCCGACGAGGCTACCGACCTCAGACGGAAGCAAGACAGGCGCGGGAGGCACGTCGGCGCGAGATCAAGAAGAAACAGGCAGAAGATGCCTGGGATGGCGAAGTCCCTGATTTGGGAGATGAACTCACGGAAGAGGAGCAAGCCACATCTGATATCCTCACTCAGATTGTTGAGGGCTGGGAAAGCAAGCGAGGGAGCGAAGATGTTCGCATGCGTTCTTCTGCCCTGTCTATCCTTGCAGGTGCAATGGAAACCAACGTTTCTGGTGTTGGACCGGATCTCGTGTCAGCCTCCGTAGACCTATGCGTCAACGTTCTTACGCTGGAGCCAGAGCTGGAAAAAGGGATACTGCGGAGAGCGGCTGTGCTCCTCATATTGAGCTTTGTCAAGGCTCTCGACGTAGCAAGGCAAACCGGGCGGAGGATAGGCTTCGGACTGACGGACAGCAGCAGGAATGATATCTTGCGCGTCCTTAAGTACATTGCCATCTCCGACAACGATGGCCTGGTACAGCAGCATGCCAGAGATGTCATTGAGAGTCTGGAGAGCTGGCAGATGGCTACTCTTTTGCCCGCGGGAAGAGATATGCCAGCCGGTCCAAGCATTGGTGGACTTGCGGACCTGAACTTGCGCCAGCAATTTGGCTCCCCGAACGTCGGGCAACAACGGCCTAGGATAGAAGAGGTTGAATGAAGCATGTGTCGTGCCTGGTCAATGTCCTCCCAACCCATCCCCACTTTCGTGTGTCCCGCTGCGAACCCATGGATGTCGTAGATCACGTGGTAGCGCGACGCGACTGCGTGTACCATGTAACGCGCAGCGGCGCGCGTTGCTGCTCACTTTCACTCCCCCACTATCATTGGTTCCCATTGTGTGCCATCTATCTTACAGCGCGTGCAGAGCCATGCCTCCGCGTTACCGCCATGGCTACTCACAATATCATCGCCGACTCGGATGAGGAAGATGATTTCACGCCAGGGCAAAGTCCGACGAAGCCCCAGACCCCGGTCATTGCACCAGCTTCCCGCTCGCCCACGACAGGCAATGGCACGGACTCGACCGATCCCCGCTTCTTCCAGGCCATCTACAGCGAACAGCAGCAAGCCGTGGAGCGCGCTGCACCCGTCCCAGCAGACCACTCCTTCGACGCTGCCGACAACACATCGAGCTCGATTTCCCTGAACGCACACCTGCAAAAGAAGACGGGCATAGAGAACACGTCGTCCCTCACGTCTGTCAGCGACCCGGCGCCGAGGCGACCGAGAGCAGCGCACCTCGTCAGCCCCGGCGGTGTGACGCAGCCTTCGCCGCCGGCAGGAAACGTGGCGAGCACGATGAAAGATGTGTGGGATATACCAAGCAGCCCCGAGGCGACAGCGTTGCCGATGCCGAAGCGCAGTCTCATCTCGCACGCGACGGGTCACGGTACCACATTCACAAAATACGCGAATGCAGGAAGAGGCTTTTCGCCAACGCCAGAGGCCGCGCCATCGTCAGGCCTGAGCGATCCGCCTATAGAAGCAATGCCCGAGAGGAACGACGTTGCCACGCCACCTCATCCCGCAGACCAGCAGTGGCCTCAGCATGCGGGCCTCGGGTCGCCAACACAGCAAAATTCGCCAACCAGGATCAGCGAGGCACGGCAATGTCCCGTCAGCGGCCAGAAACCAACGGCGCCGTTGGCGAGCGACAGTCTGTTGTCGGATCAACCAGCCTCCATGCCCGGCGTGGCCGCGATATGCATCGAGCCCACGACCCTCAGTACGAGTCAGAGAGCACTCTACCAGTCATTACACCCATCGCCTGACGAGGAAGCGATGCAAGACTTTGACGGCGCCGCCCACTTCAAGCAGGCAATGTCAGGGATGGGGTCGAGCGGTGCTACGACGATTGCCTACGCTACGCCCAGCCAGTGGCGGAAATCATCTCACCCTGTCGTGGTCGAGCCGAAGGAAGCGTCATCGCCGGCCACAAGTCGGAAAAAGAGAGCGCGGGTATTGGTGGATGCTGAGCCTGCCTCGTCGCCCGACCTTCTCGCCGTGGAAGAAAGGCCGGGGAAGCGGGGCAAGACCGCCAAGAGGAAAACTGACAAGGCAACTGCGCGACGAAGCGCGACACGGCAGGTAAAGGATTCTGATGACGATGATGAAGACGACGGGGCAGGCGAAGACGATGACGACGATGATTTCACAGCCGAAGCATATCAACCACGACCGAGCTGGCGTAGAGCTATCGGCGCCCGCCTGCGCGGGGTGGAAGGAAATGCAGAGGAGGAGGAGCAGATGGCTGCCATAGCAGCGGCTACGCACGTGGCCGAGACGCAGAAGACTCCAATGGTGCTGCTTGCTGCGGAGTCGGACAGTCCGCCGCCGCGCAAGAAGAGAGGTCGTCCTAAGAAAGCAGAAATGCCGACAACTCCACAAGTCAATGAACCCCTCAGCGATGGTCAGCCACAGATAGTGGAAGACGCAAAACGCCCCTCCGACACGACGCTCCAGGCAGTCGATGCTTTCGAGACGGATCAACATGCACAAGCCCCGCCGGCAGAGGCTGCGAAACCAGGCAAGCGAAAACGAGGCAGGCCACGCAAGTCCGATCAAGCGGCGACGCCAAAGGCCGCGCCCATCGAGGTACCCGTCGAGACGCCCGTCGTTTGCGTGGATGACATTACAAGCGGCACTACGATGGACGGGGCGGCAACTGACGGCCCAGCCGGCGGCTTACCTGATGAGGATGTGCCAGCAGTCACCCCCCACGCGCGGGGGGATAAGAGGGCACTCGGAGATGCCTCTGGCAATCCAATCAAATCTGCTGACGATGTTGTCAAGCTGGACAAGGTTGAGACGCAAGAAGAGCATGAGAGAAACGAAAGAGGCGCGACACCGGCCAAGCCAAAGGCAGCAAAATCGACCGCCACGTCGACGAAACGAGAGCCGCAGCTGCCAGTGACACCACAGGCCGGCAAACCACTGTACCGAGTGGGACTCAGCAAGCGTTCGAGGATTGCGCCTCTGCTGAAGTCGCTCCGGAAGACATGAGGCGGGATGAAGACGAAATGAGGCGACGCTATATTAAGATGATGGACGACATGGCGCGCGTGCAGTGCCAGTGCAGCGCAGGCATGGAGCGTGTGGCGGAAGAATACCCCGGTATGCATACAGTGAGTGCAAGTACAGCTAAGGAAATGGACGTCCATGCTTCTCAACACTCGTGCTCCACGTGTGTTGTGCCCCCATACCAATCCATGTGACTTGAGCACTACACGTGCGATTGTTCCACAGTCTCCATCGCGCGTCTTTTTCAAGGCAGGTAGGCCGCGGACGAGATGCCCAGGAGGTGCTGGACCCCCGCGGCTAGCGGATGGTGCATTTGGCAGCCAGGCCATTTTGGGGGCATCATGGGAGGGCTGAATGGTGACGGGAGGGTCATGTTGCGCCCTGGACGGCGAGGTGGGCGTGGGACCCCCCCTGCACGTCGTTCGTCTTGGCCGCGCCGCTGTCCACTCTGGCAATCTCACGTCATGTGGTGATTTGACGAAGGCGCCAGAGCCCCCCTCGAGGAGAGGCCGGCCCTCGAGGAGAGGCCGGCTGCTAGGAGAGGATCCCCCGTGCGGCATGGGTCAGGCCTTCAAGAATGTGTCTTTGGGGACATGTGTCTCGGAGGACAGGTGGGAGAGCTGGCAGGCGGGCAGGCAGGGTGGCAGGTTGGAGGCTCAATCACATCACCCGAGTCTTCTGCAGCGTGCATTACACGGAGACGGCCATCCGGAACAGCGTGGCTGTCCACTGAGGCTGCCGGCGACAGCGCTCTCAGCAGGGAGGCGCTGTGCCGCAATTCAGCACCTCGCGCCCGTCTCTCTAGGTGCCTGATGGTCCTTACCTAGGTACCTACCTAGGTGGGTAAGGTACGTAGGTACCTCCCAGGTCGTCTTGGTACGGGTCGGCACAGGGCAGCGCAGGCAATATAGGGCAGAGGCACTGAATGACGGGATTGACGCACAGGCGGCGCACAGGCGGCGCACAGGGGGTGAGTGAGGGGTTGAGGTTGAGGGGCGATGAGGGTTAAGGGTTGAGGAGGGGCTGGCGGCTGGCTGGCTAGAGGGGCAGACCCAGAAACGCATGGAGGGGTACGGTACCTGTCCTCTGCCAGATGTGTCCCGCAACTCTGAGGTACATTCTGACCAACCCAACTTTAGCGCGGAACTTGAATCCGCCAGCTGGACTGGAAGAACGGGGGAGACCGAACTTCGGCCGGTTTTCGTGACTCGTTCTCGATTTTTTCCCCCGAGTCCCTTTCCGTCTTGCGTGCGATCTGACTGATGACTGTTGTCTTTTCTCGTTGAGGCACAGCCGAATTGAATCACGTACGCGAAGGACGTCCGACTTGCGATCAGTCCGTCGTCGCTGCCTCTCTCTCTCTCTCTCTCTCTATCTCTCCCCCTCACTCGGAGCCTTGGAACATCCTCCTCTCCAATCACTTCTCTTCTCCCTTCGTCCTGCGCGACTTTAACCCCCCCCCCCTTCCCCCTCCCTCTTCGAACTCCATTGACAGACCGACTCGAGATGGCTTCAAACGGCACAACCCCCCACAACGGTGTGGGCAACGTCGGCAGTGGTGGTGACAGCAACCACACGCCTTCCCAGCGCTACCTGTCGACCCGCGGCGAGGACACCGATGTACGAACCCCACCCACGTCTCAGTGACCGATTCTTCTTCGTCGTCTTCTTTTCCCTTTTCCTTTCCGTGTGTACAGAGCATCCTGTTGATCCCGCCTTCCAGTTCTCCTTCGAGGAGGTCGTCCTCAAGGGTCTCGCCTCCGATGGCGGCCTATACATTCCCTCCGAGATCCCCCAGGCCGAAAACTGGCAGTCCTGGAAGGACAAGTCCTTCACCGAGCTCGCCTTTGAGATCCTCTCTCTCTACATCTCCTCCGCCGAGATTCCCTCGGAAGATCTCAAGGGAATCATCGAGAGGAGTTACTCCACCTTCCGCGCCCCCGAGACCACCCCTCTTCGCCACCTCAACGACAACTTGTACCTGCTCGAGCTCTTCCACGGCCCGACCTTTGCCTTCAAGGACGTCGCTCTGCAGTTCCTCGGCAACCTGTTCGAGTACTTCCTCGTGAGGAAGAACGAGGGCAAGACGGGACGTGACAGGCATCACCTTACTGTCGTCGGCGCCACGAGCGGTGACACGGGCTCCGCCGCCATCTACGGCCTCAGGGGCAAGAAGGATGTGTCCGTGTTCATCCTCCACCCCAAGGGTCGTGTGTCCCCCATTCAGGAGGCCCAGATGACCACCGTCCTCGACGACAATGTCCACAACCTTGCCGTGACCGGCACATTTGATGACTGCCAGGTGAGTCCGCCACACACATCGTGACGGGGCCCCCTTTGCTCCTCATGCTGACACCTATCCTCTCAGGACATTGTCAAGGCCCTCTTCGCCGACCCCGAAATCAACAAGACGCACAACCTTGGTGCCGTCAACTCGATTAACTGGGCTCGCATTCTCGCCCAGGTCGTCTACTACTTCCACGCCTACTTCGCCCTCATCAAGTCGTCAGAGACGCTGAAGCTCGGCGACAAGGTCCGCTTCGTCGTGCCGACGGGCAACTTTGGCGACATTCTGGCTGGCTACTTTGCCTTCCGCATGGGCCTGCCCGTGGCCAAGCTCGTCGTCGCGACAAACGAGAACGACATTCTCCACCGCTTCTGGACCACGGGCCGCTACGAGAAGCACGAGGCTCACGGCGCCGAGGCCGCCGGTGGCCTCGCCCAGGACGGCGCCAAGGCGCACGAGGACGGTGCCAAGGAGACGCTGAGTCCGGCCATGGACATTCTCGTGTCCAGCAACTTTGAGCGTCTTCTCTGGTTCCTCGCGTACGAGTTTGCCTCGAGCGTCGGCATGGGTGATGAGTGGAACAAGAAGCAGGCGGGCCAGGAGGTCACAACGTGGCTGTCAGAGCTCAAGACCAAGGGCGGCTTCGGCCCCGTCTACAAGGACGTCCTCGCCAGCGCGCGCCGCGACTTTGAGAGCGAGCGCGTCAGCGACGAGCAGACGACCGAGACGATCAGGAACCTGTACAACAGCAGCGCCGCGTACGTGCTCGACCCGCACACGGCCGTCGGCGTCGCCGCGTCGCTGCGGTCGATCGAGCGCAGCGGGCCCGAGGTGCCGCACATCTCGCTGTCGACGGCGCACCCGGCCAAGTTTGCCGGCGCTGTAGAGCTGGCGCTCAAGGACGAGGCCGGCTTTGACTTTGCCGGCAAGGTGCTGCCGCAGGAGTTTGTCGGGCTCGAGAGCAAGGAGAAGAGGGTGTCGGAGGTGGCGGCCGACTGGAAGCAGGTGCGCACCGTGGTGACGAAGCAGGTCGAGGAGGAGCTCAAAGGCCACTCGAGCTAAAGAGAGTTTTTGCTTCACCATCGTGGAGTCGAGGTGCGCAAGAGAGGGGCGGGGTCTCGCCAGCGGGGTAGAGCGTCGGCAACGACATGGAAACGCTGAAACGTGGACAAGAAGTCATGAATTTGGGAGGAAGGCGAAGGCATTTGGAGCACGCGACATGCATGCAGTGACGCTGCCTGGGCGGCAGCGAAGACAGGGCTGGATCGGCATACGGGGTAGAGTCAACCAATATACCTTGGCCGGCAGGCCTCTGACGAATATTCCACCTGACCGCCCAAGTGGCGGATGTTGTCTTTGTGGACATTCATGACAGGGCGGGCAGCTGCCACTTCTCGCTGCTGCAGTCGAGCGAGGCGTTGGGCGGACACGTCAGGAAGGAGTCGAGACAGCATGGGTCCGTACGAGGTCCTGGCCAGGATTTATTCGCCCTCGCGCGCTTGGGCGAGAGATGCCGACATGTGATCATCAGCGGCCCTTCCCCTTTCACGGCATCGGTGTTGTCACTTATCAGCCCTCACAAAACGGGCGCCACACACACACACACACACACACACACACACACGCCCGCCAGGTCCGCATACAATCCCTGTCCCGTTTCAAAACAACTGCCACTGGGATTCTCGCGCAACAAAAGCAGAAGTGTACGAGTGTGAGAAGCATTCGTAGGTCGGAAGCATGCCGAACCACAAAGGGTGGGGCTTTTTGGGGCCGTGCGGTAAAGTGTAAACGCCGATGCCGGGGGTGGGTGTCAGTCGCAGGACAGCAGAAGTGGGCTAGACTTGCGGGAAAGGTTTTGTTGTGTTCCATGGGGACGTGTTAGTCTGAACCAAGCGGCGGGACATCGAGGAATATCATGTGATCTCTTGCTTTGCTCGGAGGGCTTTCGTGAGAGTACGGGTGGTCCATTGGGTGGTCAACTGGGTGGTCAGTCGGGTGGTCAATCGGGTGGTCAATCGGGTGGTCAATCGGGTGGTCAATTGGATCGTCAATTGGATCGATTAGAAGGATGATGATCTGTAGGTGAGTCGTTTGGTCGGTCCAGGAGGCAGGGAGCCTAGGCGGTGCGAGACGCAACCGTATGATCCTCAATGACCGACCAGCTTGGAAAGCGCTACAGCTCGACGTTGATGCCGTCTGTGGTGGTGTTGTGTATACTTAGGTACCTATGAGCGAGCACACACACACAGAGAAAGACAGAGATGAGGTAAGCAGCAGAGCCCCCCCCCCCCCCTTCCCAGACCTGAACCCAATTGACTCTTGTACATTCTCTCGACGACTCGACAGACTGACCACCAACCATCAACCCACTGCTCGCAGAATGTCTCACAGAACACCCTTCCCATCAGCATTCCATTTCCATGCGGTGCACGCAGAGCCGCCGTCTTGGGATCGAACCTGTGCGGCCCGAACAAGATCCTGAACAACCGACATGCGCAAACCATGGCGTCACGCCCTTCACGTTGGTGCAACCCGACGTTCTCAGCTGGGTCGGTCCGTCGGAAGCCTCACCGACAGAGGGACACCCCCCCCCCGCTCCCCTGCACGTCCCAAGGTGCCATTCCCAGCCCCCACGACACGACCCAAAGCACCCAAAGCAAGCAACCCAGATCAAGAGAGTCAGTCCATCGATACCAGTCCCCCCTCGCCGACCTGCACGCACCCAACCCGACCAACCCCACCAAGCCGACTTCATTGGCCGCGCTCCGGCGTGCGGGCACCACGGGCAGGGTTCTCAGGCCTCTGTGCCTTATCGGAGCTTCCAACGAGTGCTGGGCGGCATATGGAATTGATCAAATATGGCAAGTGATGGATGGGGTGGCCGTGCAAGCCATGGAGGACAGCAACAAGTCACCACCCAAGACGTGCAGTGCGGTGCGGTGCGGTGCGGGGAGCACGCAGATCGCCATCATCGACTTCCCCTTTGAGGCCTGGCAAGTCGGCCTACCCACACCTATCCGCACGCTACGAATGGAGAGGGGGGGGGAAGCTTCCCAAAGCTACACCCCCGCACCCAACCCAGACCTGCGCTTGTACTGGCAAGACTGGCAACTCTCTTTTTTGCGTTGCGGCCGGCCCTCTGGGCTCATCGCTCGATCGACTGACACCATCACCACCGACGCGCTAATAACTGGCACATGGCGTTTCCGCTACCTGCGTTGCCAAGCTGCGGGCGGGCACTGACTTGTGTACCTGCTACCTGCTTCCGCCTTTGTCTTGGGTAGTGCAAGGATTCGAGGCTGCATGCGAACCTAAAAAAGGCGTTGGCTCTCTCGAGCTCCTCCCCCTCCCACTCGCCAACTTGGAGGGTGAGGGCGAGGGCGAGGCGAGGGCGAGGAGAGGGGAAAGCGGCACACTGCATTATAACCCGTGGGCTGGCCTGACGTCGAGCTGCCGTGATCTTTCTTGGTCGCTCTGCTTTCCTCCCGCCCTGTTCCTGACCTCTGCCTACCGGCTCATCGCCCACTATGGCTCCCTCCTATCGCAATGTCGTGCTCGTCGCTTTGGCCGCCATCGCCTCCGCCGATTCTGAACCTACAGTGTGGGGTTCCGTCGCCGTCATCATGAACGGCGAGCGCACTCCCCTGCGCGGCGGTCTCGCGAGCACCATCACACCCCAGGGCGCCCAGCAGATGCACGGCCAAGGCGTCGCCTTCAGGCATCGCTACATTGACGGGACGAATGCGCAGGACAGCATCTTCAGGGCGCCGATCCGCGGCATCGAAAGGGACACGCTCGACAACTCACAGCTCACCATTCTGACCAACACCGACGTCCACACCATCGCCGGCGCCACTGCCTTCCTGCAGGGTCTCTACCCTCCCGTCGATGACGAGTTTCTGGACGAGGCCGGCGGCGTCAGCCTGTCCTACGACGCTGCGACGGACAACTACACGCAGTACCCCCTCAGCGGTTATCAGTACCCCGCCATCAACACCCTCTCCACGCTGGAGGAGACGTCAATTCCGTAAGTGCCGCAGCCAGTGCTCCGCCTAGCCAGCATTCCCGCTGACACGGTGCCAGTCTCCATGGACACAAGGGGTGCTTCAACTGGCTGAACGCCATGGACAAGCTGCCCGAGGATGAGAACATCCGCAAGGAGGCCGACGCCACGCTCGAGAGCTACCGGGAAATCTTCTCCTCGCTGCCTCTGGATGGCGCCTTTGCTGACGACTTTCCCTCATTCTGGAACGCCTACGACGTTTTCGACTACGTGCGATACCAAGCCAACCACAACTCCACGATTCACCGGCAGCTCGAGGAACCCGTCCTGTCGGAGCCTACCCTTGCATTCCTCGAACGAAATGCCTTCAAGCAGCAGCTGGCCCTCAACACCGATAGCTCCCTGTCGGGCGCCTCGACGCGCGACCCTGTGCGAAGCATCGCGGGCCAAGCGCTCGCCCAGGGGATCCTGGACGCGCTGGCTGCCGTCATCTCCTCTCGCGGTGAGACGGACAAGCTCACCCTCATGTTCACCTCGTTCCACCCGTTCATTGCCTTTTGGTCGCTCACCCAGCTCTTGACCACCAGCACCGATCCTTCGTCGCCATACGCCTCGTTCCCGGCCCCGGGTTTCTCCATGTCCTTTGAGCTCATCAGCGACCAGCCCGGCCAGCCCGGCCAATTTCCCTCGAACGACGATCTTCGGGTTCGCTTCGTGATCCGCAATACAAACTCCTCTACCACCTTCCGCGCCGACAATATCTTTGGCACCCCCGTCTCCGAGTACATCATGACGCTCGACTTTTTCGCGACCCAGATGCGCAACATTGCCATTGACGTCGGCGAATGGTGCATCCACTGCTCCTCCCCGCAGCTCTTCTGCGTGGCGCGCAGCGCGCTGGCCGCCGACGGCGACGACGGCGACTCGTCCGGGCTCAACAGGGACGGCAGTCGCTCGCTCGCCAGCACGCCCGTCGTCGTCGCCATCCTCGGCGCCGCCGTCATGCTCATCCTCGTCGCCCTCGTCGCCGCCGTCGCCGCCTTCTTCTTCGGCGTCCGCCTCCACCGCCCCGGCAAGGGCTCCTTCCGCGGCGCCGAGAAGCGCGCCGAGGACGCCGACGTTGTCGTCTCGCGCGGCGGCGCGCGCCACGAGCGCGTCGGCAGCTGGGAGCTGCGCGACGGGCGCCCTGTCACGGCTGACGAGGCCCACTTCCGCGACAGCAAGTTCAGCGGCGCCGGCCTCGTGTTCGACAAGGAGACGGGCCGGACGAGCGAGCGCGAGACGGCCGACGACGACGGCGTCAGCGTCTTGAGCACTGATATTACCGCCCAGCCCGTACGCCCGCGCGAGAGCGTGTAGGCTGTGTGTGTGTCTCTCTCTCTCTCTCTCTTTGCTTTTTGGTGTTGTTGTTCTTTCCACATTTCGGCTTTGTTCACGTATGGCCTTGTTCATGATACCCTTCTCTACCTTCTCTAGGACTGCACGGATTGGCTCTCACGGATTATCTCGGGGCGCGACGGAGTCTTGGATGTACGCGATGTGATATCTTCTCTTTTTGTCGAGATGAGTAGGAACAGGAGCAACTACATAGCCGACACTACTTCATACATCATGATTCATTCGTCATATCCCCGAAACACGGGGATTCCTTCTCGCCCGTGATCATTCTGTGCCGAACTGCGAGGCGGGCGGAAAGGAAAAAGCAGCAAGACGGAAGGAAAAGAGAATACACGCGGACCTTGTCACGAACAAGGAATCGAGGGGGCAGCACGCGAAAGAGACCCAAGAAAAGGATATCAAAAACCCGAGGTACAAGAAATGGCCGCCGCGCCTCCGAGCCTGCTCACTCGTATAAGCCGTAGCCCTGATATCGGTCGGCAGCGGAATCAACAGATAAGGACGGATTGGAGCAGTACGCCGAGTCGCAAAGAAAGTGGCCCTGGTCGCAGCAGTTTGCGGGCTGGGAATCGTCGACGGCGAAAGACGTCGGGTCCCAGCCTTCGCAGGCCCCCTCGAGGTCGGGCAGGAGCGCCTGCGTCAAGCTCTCGTACTCGTCAACGGCGTCAGGAGGCACTGTCGAGAAGAAGCCGGGCTGGTACTGCGACTGGGTCTGGGCTGGCATGTTGGGGTCGCCCATGGTCGAAACCTCCTCGGGGGACTGGATGGCTCTATAGTTCATGTACATTCTGACCTGGACGCCCTCGACAATGTCGATGATCTTGCTACGCATGTGGTCCTCGAAGTCGAGGCTCTTGCGATCAATTTCCTCCTCGATCTCGCGGCGGATGGCGTTGGGCAGCTGGCGGCGGCAGTAACGCCGGAACCCTTCGTCGATGTGGAGTGGTGATTTACCGCCAGACGGGGTCGATTGGCGTGTTGGCGACATGTCGTAGTCTGGCCAGTTGTCAGGGTCTCGCCGAAGCGGAAGAGTATGAACAGCCGCGGACTCACAAGGGGACGGGATGTTCTTCGTATCCTTCGGCAGGTCGAAGAGTATGCAGTAGACATCGCTCCAATGCTGCGCCTCCGAAGTCTTCGGGCTTACCCTCGCCTTCAGCTTGGTCTCCTTTTCCAAGTCAAATCCCATGACGGGGTCGGGCTTGGACTCCTCACGCAGGCGGCATGAAATTTCCGACCGCACGTGGTCTTCGAACGCCGCGTCGTCGGCAAAGTACTCCCAGCAACGCTTACAAGGAAAGCGCGGAAGACGATGTTTGCGTAGGAGATGCTCCCTGCTTCGAGTCAGGCCATGCACGGACTAAGATGCACTATAGATGGAGGGAGACAGGACAACACACTTGAGACGATGCCAGCTGGGAAACCCTGGACCGCAACAGGCACCAGAGTTCCACTTCTTGGGGTTGTACTTGTTGTAGGGGCAAGCGAATTTTCGGTGGCTATCGTCGCTATCTGTCTTTGCTCGCTTGCTGTTCCTATCCTTGCCGTTCTTGTCGCCGTCGCCTCTGTCGTCGCCGGGAGGCTCGCTGTCGTCGCCGCGCTGAAGCTGGCGCTTCTGTCCAGCTAGCGACGTGGTCGAACCTTGGAACCGGGTACCTTTGGAGCCGCCCCTCGATGAGCTCGATCGACCGGGTTCATCTCCGTCTTGGGCCTCGTCACTGGTTCCCAGCGAGTTATCAATACACTCTTGAATGATTTCCATCAAGTTGTCAACGATTTGCTTGTTCCGCTTGGCAATGCAGGCCTTGATGAAAGCACTCTCTTCGAGCGCGTGCAGGCTGCTTCCAGTTGAAGGAACAGAGCTGGGTTCGGCGGAACGGACTGCACCTGGAACCGCACTGGTTTTGGTACCCTTTGAGGCCTTGCCAGAGGATCGGCTGGACGAATGACCTGAGGAGCGTGTGGAGGTAGACGACGCGTGGTCCTTTGCCAAGTCAGAAATGAGGTTCCGTCTTTCAGAAAGGGGTTGTACCGAGTCAGACTTGGCCCCTTTACGTTTGGTGGGCTTGGATGACGATGATTCAGCCACACGGACAGAGCGGCCTGCAGACTTCGGCATGACAGACTGTCGACTGCTTGCTATGCGCTTAGGTTTGGGCAACGACGTGAGGGGGTCGGCAAGAGGGCGCTTCCTGAGCTGATGATGGGTTTCTTTGAAGCGACGAACGATGTAAGACCACGGGCTGCGAGCTGGTGATAGTACTCTTTGAAGCGACGAAGGATGTTCGAATAAAACGGACCCTGTACTGGGACGTGGAGCTGGTGCGATCACAACCATCTCATGCTGGGAATCCTGAATTGGGTTGCATCAAATGAGGCGAGGGCTCATGCTTCGTCGGAAAAAGAGACCGAGGGATGTGGTGAAGTACCTAGTGGAGGTAAGCAGAGGGGATCTGGGGAATAACGGATTCTCAGAATTGCTCAAAGGAAAAGACCATTGTCGCGAGACCCGAGCGGGCGAGAAGCGTATTTATGCGCAGATCGGCGAGTGAAGCCTGCGCAGACGGGGAGACGCGCGGGGAGGAGACTGCGCAAATGCGCATCCTCCCATGAGAGGATGCTCACTCTGGAACCCCCCAAGAGAGGCACAATGTGGTATTAGCATGTAAGGCTGCAGGTCGAACGCGCCTGTTTGGGAATAGACCAGAGGTTCCATCGCCAAAGGCAGACGTCGGTCATGGTTCCTGTACGTCAACGTACCTCGCGCAATGTCGCGCGTTGCGTGTGGAGTCAGGGGGTACGTCTCTCTTTCTTTGTGTTTTGCTCTCATTTTGCTGTGTCCTCGAATGCGCGTCCACTCTGTTGCGAGATGGCTCGAGCGAGCAGCTGCGAGAAAGATGCTTTATGCGAAATCTTTCGAGGCAGTTTTGCTGCCAGAAGAGTGGTATTTAGAGGAGGGCATGTTTCGCTTCAGGAAGTTGATCGAGTTCTGTGCCGATGCCACTGCACGAAGCAGCAACGAGAAGCACTGTCGAAGCTCAGCGACGCACGAAAACGATCATTCACAATTGATCCAGCCAAATACTCGATTGGCACCCTGTGGTACGCGAATCGACGACCAGAAGAAAGCACGAGTCTTCGCCGTTGCCGTCCAAAGACGTCTCTTTCGGAGATTGTGCCGCGACGAAGAAGTCGACGAAGAAGTCGAGTACAAGCAGCAACATTGTCCCAATCCCGCCACGAAAGAGACAAGCTCGCCATGGCGCCCATTTCGGCTGCTCCTTCGATGAGGGTCTCTGGTGAAGGGTATGGCTCTGAGGGTGCCACGTCGAGGATCCGCAGGAAAAAGCTGACAAGCAGCAGTCCCCAGGTGCAGGGCACTTCGCATGCACTCGAGAGGTACCGGACGGATCCGTCACCGGGCGTCGCGGAGAGACTTCTCGCCCGCGCGGCCAACGGGCGTGACAGTGGCAGCGGCAGTGAGGCAGCGAATAAGGGCCTGCAGGAGCTGGAAGCGATGATGAAGCGGACGACGCGGGCAGTGACGCCTCGCAGCTGATCGATTGGGTGACGTTTACCGTGGGGGGGAGATTCGATGACCCTGGCTGCATCTGATGCATTGATCGAGGAAGAGACCAGGCATAGATAGAGGTGGTTGTAGGGGTGTGGTGGAAGAAGATGGAGTTGGTAGAGGGAGATGAAGAAGAAGAAGAAGAAAGGAGGGAAGAGAAGAGGAAGAGAAGAGGAAGAGGTTCACAGAGGAGGCAGGGACAAGACGTTGTGAATGAGCCACATTTGTGGCTGTGTGATAATCATTGCTCTTCGAGATCATCTGTTGCCAACTCCTCTCCTACCTAGGTTCCTACCTAGGTCCCTACCTAGGTTTTACCTAGGTCCCTACCTAGGCAGATAGAGACCGTTCGAGATGTCCGTCTACCATCTCTGTGTCTTTGTCAACGTCGATCTCCGTCCGATTCGTCGCCTCATCCTTCACCTCTTTCTCTTTCTCCTGGCCGTCACAACCTCAGACACTACAGCGCCGCCTTCTGCAGGTTGCTCGCAAAGTTGCCATCCTTGAAGGGCACGTTCGCCGACCCAAAGTTCGTGTTCTGCAGCGCCGCCCGCGCCGCCGGCGTCAGGCTCTCCCACGCCACGAGCGGCTGCTCGCCGCCCTGGTCGGCCGTGAAGACCATCTGGTGGTTGACGGGCCAGGTGCTGCGGTAGCCGAGCTTGGGCCGCGCGCCGGCGAAGCTGACGTCGGCCGCGCGCTGGACGTCGTAGTCGCCGTGCGCCGACGCCGCGACGCCGACGACGGTCGCGTCCGCCGCCGCCGACGACAGCCACACGACGGCCCCCTCCCAGTCGTGCCGGTGGCCGAGCCCCGACGACGGCGCGTCCTTGGGCATGTACCACGCGTACAGGATGCCGTTGGCGCCGTTGTAGGTGCCCGCGCGCGCGTACACCTGGCCCGGGCTCGACGAGCAGCCGCCGTTGCTGCTGCCCGACGTGGCGAGGCCGCCGCTGTTCGAACATGGTCAGCATCAGCACACAGCCCACGCGCGCGGCCGAACGAAGGAGGACGATGAAAAAAAACAAAAAAAAAAAACAAAAAAAAGAAATCTCACCCCGTGTCGCCGCCGGCGTTGACGGCGGGAAACGGCACGCAGCCGTTGAACACCTTGAGGTACGGCTTGTACTTGAGCATCAGCTGACCCGAGACGCCCGAGGGCACCGTCTGCGGGAAGCCGACGACGGCGTCGTGGCCGATGACGGCGCGGGACTCGAGCAGCGGCGCCGCGAGCGTCGAGGACGCGGCCGCGAGCCAGGTGACGATGCTGATGAGAGACGGCGACATGGCGACGGGTGGACTTGGTTGCAGACCAGATGGGGGCGACGGATGGAAAGACGATGATGAGAAGGAGGAGGATGGTCGGTTCACAGTGACGACCTGGGCCTGCGTCTCTGCGTGGCGTCCCAGCCATTCTTATCATCATGGGGATCTTCCCTCCCACCTCCTCCCATCTGATGCTCCTGTCGCCCAATTCGTCCCCCCTCCCCCCCCCCTCCGCTTGCTTCTCCTCACTGGGTGCCACCAGAAGCGGGCCGGATTGTCGGAAATGGTCGTGGTGCCTGGTGATCATGTTATTGGTTTCCCCGTCCTGCTCGCCCTCTCTCTCTCTCTCTCTCACAGCAATCGCGGGCACATGGTCCCCCGGTTCACTCTAAAAAAGACCAGGGGTCCCTCCGCCCTTCGCCGTGGGCCCGCGCGCGCACGCTATTGGATCGTGTGATCTGGTTCATGGCGATGCGACCCTGTACGGTCTTTGCGTCTCTGCGTACGTGCCGGGGGGGCGCCAGCGTACGCTCGGAGGAGGGGATGGCTTTGGGGAAGGTCCGCGGACGATGGTCGCCATGTGAAGACGAGGGCGCGGACGAGGAGGGGGTGGGCGACTGTGCTGAACTGCCGTAAACACCCCCGGCATCGGCCGATCACAGCGGGGGACGGCCCTGGATCGGGGCAATTGACCCGCGCGCCGTCGCTTGTCTTGTCTTGTGGGCCCCGCTTCCACTCGCTTCGTGGCGGGGTGGACATGGCCTCTGACAGAGGACAGCTGGACCTCGTGGGAGACGCAGACATGCCGAGAGATGCGAGACTGCGGGGACATTGCTCGTTGGCAGGTCGTCGCCATCTCTGGGAGGCCCAGATTCACAGCCCAGGATAGAGGGCCCAGGATAGAAGGCCCAGGATAGAAGGCCCAGGAGCACAGTATGGGCAGCGGTGAATGATATCCTGTTGTATGCGGGGGGACACAACATGTCCGTCATTGCTGTCGGCAGGGTATCTCTGGTTCATTAACGCGTGCGAATCAATCAGCAGCAGCAGCCGCAGCAGTAGTAGTACAATCCTCGGCCGTCACTCGTGCTTCGGCCGTCACTCCGCCGTCCGACCGTCTCCTGGCCTCTCGGCCGTTATCCCTCTTTTGAAAACACGGAAATCATGTCCAACAAACCAACGCCCACGAAACGCCGTCTACTGATGCATGCCCTCACGGCAGCCACGTGCACCAAGCCGTGCGGCCTGGAGCCGCGCAGCAGTGTTGGTCGGCTAGCTAAAGTCCCACGACTCGCCCCACAGCTCGTTCAAGTTCAAGCCCAGCGTCTCCATGCTAAAGTCTGGGTTGAAAGCCTGGGCCTGCACCGAGTCAGCAACGGCAGCAGCGACGAGGGACGGCAGACATACCGCCGGATCGACGGCCGAGGGCATCCACGTCATGGGCATGGCGGCAGGGCCCTCCGCGAGACCAGCCGCGCCGCCCTGCGAGGCCGGGAACCCGGGGAACGAGAAGGGCGTGACGGACTGCGACTGGTCAGCGGGGTTCCGTGTGTCGCGGGACGCGGATCGTGGGCGGCCTACCTTGGCCCGCTCGGGCACTTCGAGGCCCGGCAGCCGCGCTGCCTCGGTTGCTGAGGCGGCGGCGGCGGCGGCGGCCGACGCCGACGCCGAGGATGTGGAGGACATGGGCGGGTCCTGATACGAGAGGAGCTTGTAGTGCAGGTTGACGAAACGCTCGGCCGACGCGGCCTTGGCTTGCTCGGCCGTCTTGATGGTGAGATGGACCTCGAGCAGGCCGAGGGCGGCGCACATGATGGAGTAGCCCCAGGGCTCGTTGTTGCCGCACCGCATGAGGCGGTCTTCCTTCATGACGAGGCAGCGCTCGAGCAGCTTGACCGTGTGGGCCGAGTTGATCATGATCATGTGGGTCGAGCCGCGGGGCTGCAGCATGGTGACCTTGCAGAGGTTGACCGCGGTCGTGAGGGCGTCCTCGCGCAGAAAGTTGAGGCAGCGCACGCCCTGGTCGTAGAGCTTGTCGTGGAGGAGGACGATGTCGCGGGCGGCGTTGTAGTAGATGATCTCCGAGTACTGGTACTTGGGGTTGGCCTTGCGGAGCTTGATGAAGCGCTGGTGCAGGGGGATGATGTACTGGCGCAGCTGGATGTGGAGGAGCGTGTAGGCGAGCAGGGGCCGCTTGCCGTTCTGGCTGTTGGCGCCGTCCGTCTCCCACGACGGCAGCGAGTCGATCTCGCGCGTGATGTCGTTGGTGAAGCGGATGACCTGCTCGTAGTCGAGGTCGCCGGGCGGGCCGCAGAGGAGGCGGCTGAGCTCCATGCGCAGCGGCAGGCTCTGGCGGGCGAGGTTCTGGTAGGACGAGTAGGTGTAGTCCTTGGCGGGCTTGGACGGCGGCAGCTGGGTCGTCTCCTCGTCAAAGTCCTCGTCGTCGAGGTTCCGCGGCGCGCCGACGTCGTAGTGCAGCTGGCTCAGCAGCGTCGGCAGGCCGTGGTCGAAGCTCGCCTGGATGTCGAACTCCTGGACGGTGGCCCAGATGCGGCGCCGCATCTCCTGGTTGTAGAGCGAGATGCGGCCGCCCATGTGGCCGGGGTCGCGGTGCAGGCCGACCGAGATGCCGTCCTGGATGAGGGCGCCCGAGTTGGTCCAGAAGCGCTTCTTCTTGACCGTGTTGATGCGCTTGCCGAGGTAGAGGAGGCAGGCGATCTGGTAGTGGATGAGGCGGCGGTGCTTCATGCTCTGGCGCGCCTGCCAGCGCTCGACGACCTCGATCCACTTGTGGGCCGTGTTGTGGGCGTTGGAGAGCATGCCGGTGAAGCGCGGCCTGTCGTGGGTGTGGAGGCAGTTGGCGATGGCGATCATGGCGAGCAGCATGGCGGTGAAGGCGGCATGGCGGCTCTCGTCGGCCGCGTTCTCCCAGAAGCGGGCGTACTCACGGCGGAAGGTGGGAATGTGGACGATGCGGTGGACCTGCTCAAACTGGCTCAGGTAGACCTCGACGAGGGCGTCCGTCTCGGCACGCGGCGGCACGAGGGCCTCGAGCTCGAGGTCGCGCTCGAGGAACAGGCGCTCGCGGTCCTCCTTCCTCTTCTTGCGGTCCTTGAGGTCGTGCGCCGCGGCGGGGCGCAGCCACTCGTCGGCCGTCTCCTGCATGAACGGGCACAGGCCACCGAGCTGGCACGGTCAGCACGGGACAAGGTAGGGCTGACTGTGGGTTGGGTATTCGCTCAGGTGGGAAAAGGAGAAGGAAAAGGAGAAGGAAAAGGAAAAGGAAAAGGAAAAGGAAAAGGAAAAGTTACCTCGAGGAAGGCCATTGTGGCGTTGTGCGGGCCAAAGTACCGGGTCCGGAACTCCTTGCCACGGAAGAAGCGCAGCTCGGCCTTTTCGTTCTCGGTGAAGCCATAGCAGGCGGGATGGACCTGGTCGGCGTCGGGATCCGAGGGGCTCTCGCAGGCGTTCTTGTCCGTCAGCGGCGAGTTGGAGGCGGCGACGGTGCTGCCGTCAAACGAGGACCCGTTCTGGTGGTGGTGGTGGGTGAGCTGGCCCTTGAGCTGGGCGACCTCGAGCTCGAGCCTGCGGATCCTGTCGTGGTCCTTGGTGGCGGCGGCGTCCCGCACGCAGGCGTCCGAGGCGCCGCTGCTGGTGACGGACATGTCGGGGCCGCCGTGACCGTGACCGTGGCCGTGACCGAGGCCGAGGCCGAGGCCGTGGCGGCGGGAGTCGAGCTGGGCAAAGGCCGGGGGCACGCCGGCGCTGGCGTTCATGACGACGCCCGACTTTGTCTCATAGGTGCAGCGGTCAGGCGTGCCGCTCTTGAGACATCGCTGGCACGGGTAGCCCCTGTCACAGGAGAGCTTGCGGCGGCGGCACTCGAGGCAGCTGAGACGAACGCGCTGGCGCTTGCGCGGATGATCAGGGCCATTGTGATCATCATCATCGTCGGCGTCCGGGCGTGAGTGGACGCTCATGTTGTCGTCCATGTTGGAGCTCGGCATGGTCGGGGTCGCTGTGCATGCGATGAATCGAGTCAGGCCAGATTGGTAAGCCGGATGAGTGATCAACGGGACGATGGAACAGTTCGCACGCGACACGTTGAGATTGGGGCTGCGTATGTTGTTGTGGTCAGGTCGTGCCTCGTGAGGGATCTCGTGAGGGAAAAGAGAGGGAATGAGAGATATAGCGAGGAGAGGGCGACGCAGAGTCTGCAGGCTCCGATCCGGTTCGGAGGGCACACGACACAGAAGCTAGAGGCAGAGAGGGCGGAAGCACGAGGCACGAGGCACACAAAAGAGTCATCTCACTCGACTCAATGCCGTGTCTTGTGTGGCCTCTCATGCAGTGGGTGCTGTGCTGGGATGATGATGATAGAAGGGGGGGGGGGTTCGTGGATCGTAGCCTTGGACAGCTCGGCGATACGTGTCGTGGAAGGAACAGCCCAAACAGCAAAAGCGGGGGACGACAGGCAAATCGTGTTAGTAGGGAAGGCACGTGCTCGGATCAACACGGCTGCTCGGCCGTCCGAGCCTCGTTCAGCAGCGCTCTATGACTAACACCGAGGATCTGATAAACGATTTTTCATCTTATCAGATCAAACTCTCGCAAGGGGGTCCCTGCGTCTCCAGTTCTTCTGTCCAATCGACCGCCTCCGGGTCCACATGGTCTGCCGCTGTGCGTCACCTCAAGAACGCCTTCGTCCCGCTTCTGGACCCCTCTTGCTCCTCCTTTGCCCTTTCCTCCCCTCCCCCCTTTCCGCTGCTCCTCCTTTGCCCTTTCCTCCCCTCCCCCCTTTCTGCTGCTCCTCCTCTTCCCAAGCCCTCGCCAGAAACAAGCCCTGAACAAGCGAAGCGCAGAAGACCGACAACGGCCTCAACCCTTTTGACCTCAGGCCGCCAGGTGTCCCTCTCGCCCTTTCAGCCTGATCCCGATCATCGATCATCAACATGGGTCAAAGCTCAACACACCATGGCGTGATGTGACACTACCCCGAGGCATCATCTGCTCACCACATGAGCATCATCTGCTCACCACATGAGGCCACATCACGATGCCTCTCCTGCCTCCCATGCCTCTTATGCCTCCTGTGCCTCGGTGGTGAAGCAGGAAGATGCCCGCTTTTGCACTCCAAGAGCACAACAACTACGAGCAAGCAACCGAGCTGCGTCTGGCCGCGTTCGAGCCCCCCGCAACGCCTGTTTCGAGGGGGGGTGAAACGCAAGGCGAAACGAAACAACAAACAACACGGCCGTGAGCACACCACAGCGCTCTCTTTGCCTCTGTTGAGTAGTTCGCTCGAAAGCGGGAGTGAAGCCACGTCGTGACGATTTTCTATCCTCTTCATCAGTCTCTCTCTCTCTCCTTTGGCTGCTGCTCCTGCTTCTGCTGCTTCTTCTTCTGCTGCTTCCTCTTCTGCTGCTTCTGCTTCTGCTGCTTCGTCTACTGATCCATATACTTGCCATCGCCTGCCGTTGCTTACCATCGCCTGCCGTTGCTTACCATCGCTTACCATCCCATCCTGCTATACACGAGCCACCCGAGACAGCAGGCCACAAACAATGGTGCAAGCCAGACAAACGCCTTGATCATGCTCCGACTATCTAGCCTAGCACTCACCTGTCTCATCGTGACGTTCGTCTCATCCGAATACATCCCCGGCCGCACCTTTGACTACTTCATCTCCATCTGGCTAGGCAAGCAGGTACCATACGGCCCTCATCACATGTCACCATGCCTGGCGGCTCCAGCTCCATTAATCACACATCATCTCACCTCTCCTCTCTAGAACTACGAGAATATCGTCAATGACCCTCACATTCAAGAGCTCAGAACGCAGGGCATCCTCCTCACAAGCTACTACGCCCAGACGCACCCAAGCCAGCCCAACTATCTCGCCGCCATTGCCGGCGACTACTTTGGCCTCGACCATGACGATACCTTCCGCATCCCCATCAAGGTGTCCACCGTCGTCGACCTCCTCGACTGGCGCGGCCTGTCGTGGAAGGCCTACTTCGAGGACCTGCCAGGGCCCGGCTACATGGGGCGCGCCAGCGACGGCGGCGGTACCAGCGGGCGTGGCTCGTGGCAATACGTGCGATCGCACAAGTACGCACCCCCTCTGTTCTCGTCCCTCTGTCTGCTCTGCTCTGCTCTGCTCTGCTCTGCTCTGCTCTGCTCTGCTCTGCTCTGCTCGGAAGAAAACGCTGACACAGGCCCCAGCCACGCCATTGCCGTTCGCGACCTCCTCGTCAACAGGTACATGCCCGAGATTGTCAAGATTGAGCACGCCGACGGCCGTACCGTCGAGCCGCCCAAGCCCATCCCCTGGTACCCGAACGAGCTCGCCTGGGACATGACGACGCCCAAGAACATTGTCCGAAAGTTCGCCCCCTTCTCCGCCTTTCAGAAGTTCCTCGTCTCCGAGACGAGCATCGGCAACATCTCGCGCCAGGAGGTCGTCAGCATGATCCCGCCGCTGGTCATGGACCTGCGCCCCGGCATGACCGTCCTCGACATGTGCGCCAGCCCCGGCAGCAAGGCCACGCAGCTCCTCGAGATGGTCCACCAGGGCGAGGAGGCGCGCATCAAGAAGGTCCTGCGCGCCTTTGCCCAGCAGGACGGCCTCGATCTCGGCGCCGAGACGGACGAGGAGCGCCAGGCCGACCTCGCCGCCGACCCCGCCGACGACGGACGCGCCACCGGCCTCCTCATCGCCAACGACGCCGACTACAAGCGGTGCCACATGCTGGTCCACCAGCTGAAGCGCCTCTCGTCGCCCAACATGATCGTCACCAACCACGACGCGACCATGTACCCCTCCATCAAGCTGCCCTCCGACCCCGAGACCCCCGACAAGCCCAAGTACATGAAGTTCGACCGCATCCTCGCCGACGTGCCCTGCTCCGGCGACGGCACCATGCGCAAGAACATGAACCTCTGGAAGGACTGGAACCCCAACAGCGCCCTCGGCCTGCACACGACCCAGATCCGCATCCTCGTCCGCGCCCTGACCATGCTCAAGCCCGGCGGCCGCGTCGTCTACTCGACCTGCAGCATGAACCCCGTCGAGAACGAGGCCGTCGTCGGCGCCGCCATTGAGCGCTGCGGCGGGCCCGACAAGGTCGAGATTGTCGACTGCCGCGACGAGCTCGTCGGCCTCCAGAGGCGCCCGGGCCTCAAGGACTGGCAGGTCATGGACAAGGCCGGCCGCATCTGGAAGTCGATGCAGGAGGTCAACGACTTCATGGACGGCAAGGACGCCGTCGCCGTGCCCGGCCGCGTCGTCGAGTCCATGTTCCCGCAGCCCCCGACGAGCGACAGCGCCGACCTGCCGCTCGAGCGCTGCATGCGCGTCTACGCCCACCTGCAGGACACGGGCGGCTTCTTCATCACCGTGCTGCACAAGAAGGCCGAGGTCAAGATCAAGCCCGAGCCGGTCCCCGTCAAGTCGCAGACCACGACGGCGGCCGCCACGCCTGCTGCCGCCGCCGCCGCCGAGGCCGCCCCTGAGGCTGATGCCATGCAGATTGACCAGGACGCGTCGAGCAACGGCACGAAACGGGCGCGTGAGGATGAAGCCGTCGACACAGAGTCGCAGGCTTCGAAGAAGCCCAAGGTCGATGAGAGCCACAGCGGAGAGGCCAAGACGGAGGAGGCCGAGCCTGAGGCGGTCAAGACGGAGGAGGTCAAGACGGAGGAGGTCAAGACGGAGGAGGCCAAGACGAAGGAGACCAAGACCGAGGAGACCAAGACGGAGGAGGCCACGCCTGCCGTGGCGGCGCCGAAGCCGACCAACACAAAGCCGATCCGCAACCAGCACGGCCAGATCGAGGAGCCGTTCAAGTACCTGACGGCGGACCACGAGGTGCTGCAGAACATCAAGACGTTCTACTCGGTGTCGGCGCGGTTCCCGCAGGACCGGTTCATGGTGCGCAACGCGACGGGCGAGCCGGCCAAGGCCATCTACTACACGTCGTCGCTGGCCAAGGACGTGCTGACGGAGAACGAGGGCCGCGGCGTCAAGTTTGTGCACGGCGGCGTCAAGATGTTCATGCGGCAGGACGCGCCGTCGGCCGAGGTGTGCCGGTGGCGGATCCAGTCGGAGGGCATGCCGATCGTGCAGGGCTACGTCGGCGAGGAGCGCATCGTGCGGCTCACGAACAAGGAGACGCTGCGGCGGCTGCTCATTGAGATGTTCCCCAAGATTGCCGACGGCGCGTGGCGCGCGCTCGGCGAGGTGGGCGAGCGCGTGCGCGACGTCGGCATGGGCTGCCTCGTGCTGCGGCTCGAGCCCGACGGCACGCCCGACGGCTTCACCGAGCGCATGGCGCTGCCGCTGTGGAAGAGCCTGCACTCGCTCAACCTCATGCTGCCCAAGGAGGACCGCTCGGCCATGCTGCTGCGCCTCTTCAACGACACGACGCCGCTCGTCAACCTGGCGCTCACCAAGGAGAAGCAGGCGCAGGTGCAGCAGGCGCAGGTGCAGCAGCAGCAGCAGCAGCAG